CATATTGTCAAAAGTGGGCTACTGCATAAGCTGTTATCAATATTAAGATTGCCTGGTATTGGCGGTGGTTGTCATTGGTTTACTTGAAGATGTTTGCAACTGTGATGACCTATACTGTTTTTATTGCTCTGTTATGTATATTATGGTTTTAATATATACAGTAGAAGTAAAATACTCTGTTTTAATGTACACTCTTGTTTAGGTATCTTAAAAGCCCTATTCTTGTTCTTTACCGGTTTACAAGTGATAATGAAATCTGCCAGCACAATACAGAAAGTGTTCATTATTTTAAACAAAACTCCCTCCCCTGGCAGTTAGTAATCTTATATATTCCACCTGACATCAGTTATTGTCGTAGACTAGGGTTAGGCTGACTCCGACCCTCCAGCTGTGGCACAACTACAAATCCCATTAGGTATTGCAAGACCGACAGCCACAGGCAGTACTCCCAGAGGAAGATGCATAATGGGATTTGTAGTTTCACCACAGCTGGAGAGCCGGAGTTTGCCTACCCATGGTGTAAAAGATGATGGGGGCTTTCTTGTTATTCCTGCTAACATCTCCGCATCTTCCTTCCAGCTAAGCGAAGAATTAGAGAAATGCGAGCATGAAAGTGCGGAACTGCAAGAGTTTGCCAACACCATCCTGCAACAGATCGCAGATCACTGCCCCGACATCCTGGAACAAGTTGTCAATGCCTTGGAAGAGTCGTCATGACCTCACCCATCCCGGGTAGCAAAGGACGTCCCGCGCGGCCCTGTTACATGGACACAGTGTTAGTCGATTACTTTTTTGTTTTCTTTTCCCCCCCCACTGCCCAGGTGGGGGCCTGCACACACAGCCTTGCACTGCCTGTCGGCTCACTGCGCGCTTTCAATCGCAGCGGCTGACCCGTCTCACGGAGTTCTGGGGTGGCAGCATTGATCCCTTAGGACCAAAAATGATTTCTTCTATTCCTTCAGCCCGGATCTGACATCCCCTTGAGTCCTCGGTGGGTCCACCCATCTGCTCTACAACCAACCCTTCAGATGTTCTGTGGAGATGCAATAAGAATTTGCCTTGGGGGCCTCGTGTTATAGTGTTTGAATGCAGCTGCGTCAGGGGCCCATCGCGCCAGTCCCGGAAGGTGTCAGCGAATTAATCTGTTACAAGGGGTTCACTTTTAATCTAAAGAGATTATGTTTATGTCCTGCAGCCTGATGAGTTTATACCAATGCAACGTGTTAGCGGACCGAAATGAGGTCTGTCCGTTTCTGACCACCACCCGCCTTCTTCTTGAAACATTTTGTTTCAGCTTGTGTGAAAAGTACTGGAATTATTTCTAATTATTGGTTCCGCAAATACCACAGCCAGTGATTTCCCAGTCCGAATCTCTTCGGTAATTGACCTCACTGTGATCATCACTTTACTCCACTTACATAATAGCCAGCTAGAATAAGGTTTAACCGGTTAGTAATGCCAGTTTATCTCCTCAATAAAAGCAGCTTGTAATATTATGTGGAAGAATCTCAGACTTAAAGGGCAACTCAGTGTTTAATGAGTGCCTATAACCACTGCCTACCTTTTTAATTAACTTTTTTCATTAAGCCGGCTTTTGCTTCTGTCATCGTGCTTTCATCCTAATTAGGTGATGCCAATTGTTTCCATTACAATTAGTGTCATAGCCACACATCCTGGCACATGTACGTGCTGCCTGGACACCTGTCCAACACGATGCGTGCATGAAAATCATTCAGCCAAACCTGCAGGGAGAGGCTTCAGATTTCGTGTCACTATTTTCAGCAGCAGGCACTAATCTTCAACTGAAGAAGGGGCTGATAGATTTTCTGAAAAGGAACATTACAGGTCATTACAATGAGTTGGACATTTTTTAGCAAATGTTCAATGGATATTTCATTTGTAGGTCTTTTTTACGTTTGCTTGGAGTTCTTAATAAGTTGGCTTTGAGCATTTGGGAACATTGGTTTTGGCATCTAGGTTAATGCAGGCATTTTGTTTTACTATCAGCCATTTTAGGCTATTAGAGATTCAAATAAAAAAAATTTGCCTTTGCCCTTGTGCAAAGTATAGAGTTTTGGTTAGTATTTCAGATTACCTGTTAGAGATCATAACTCCATTTTCCCCAAATCATCCACTTATGCCGAATTTGATGGCTTATCCATCTTGCAAGAAAATGGACACCCTCTTACCTCTGTCAACCTCAGGAATCCATCTTATCATCCAAAACCTGGGCGATTCAGGTCCAAAAAAGTGGTTAAAAGGGGGTTGAGAAGTGAACATGAACTACCTGAGTGCTCTCTGCATGGACTGCAGCACCCTATGTTGTTAGAACCTTATGGAATGTATTGAACTGTTCATGTTTTTCCCAGTAAGCTATCACCAGCCAAGGCCAGTGGTTTTTGTCAGTCTTGGGATGATGCCAAATCTCCATAGGTGGAATTGTATTTGAAATCATGGTGTATCATATGTTGGCCTTCTGATTATTTCTGCAGGATAAGCTCGCCATCAATTTTTGACATACAAGTAAAAACCTTGTGGATTCACAAAAACATTTGCACATCAGTTTGCGAAGCAGGCCATCTTATTGGGTAAATTAGACTTTCCGAGAATACAAGCCCCACCATTCACTTGAATCATTCTTGTTGTCCCAAACTTATAGGCATCCTTGTTTATGCCTCAAAATTGTCCCAGTATTGCTTCCGACCACAGTCCAGGCTGCTTTTGTTGTGCAGACCAGACTAAAATGTTACAACCATAAATTTTTGGCAAATTGACATGGTTGGTGGATGGTTTCTGTCTGACCACTTCTCTTATGCCATATTCAGTAGACCTCCAAGTTTGCATTGTTCGTTTTCAATCACTCTGCCACCTAACACTGTACAATGTGAGGGTTGTTTTTCCTGTCACCAAATCAAAAACAAGGGCTGTACGATTGAACGTGATATCCAGGGCACCGTGGCCATCATGACTGTTAATTCACGAAATTTCTCAGCCGCGGTTCTGTGTACAACTGTGCTTTATAGACTTTGCTGAAGTGATGGAAGTCAATGGAATGGAAATCTAGCTGGTGGCAAAATCTCCTGGGCGTGATCCTCCTCGAGAGTTGTAGACTGACTATATGAACTGTCATAAGTTGGACTTTCATGAGAATGAAATCCTTAGGAAGCGGCACACAATGCTTGCCGCCAAGAACACTAAGAAAGGAACTGTATTTGTGTCCTTGGTGAGGACTGCATGGAAGCTGCTAGAATGATCTCTGCAAGCCAACATCCGCCTGGAATCAATGTTACTTTGAATGCGGAACGTCACAGCGCTCTGAATTATCATAGGAGAAGTTACTGCCTCGTTTTCTCTCTCCTACAACAATCTGTATTGTGGGGAGCACAAAAACAAAATCTCTTTTTATTAAAAGAAACCTTTCCGTTTAGTTTTTTTCGGGGGGGGG